AATTTCAATAACATGTTAACATATTTTTTTAATAATTTTATTTCTTTAATATACACTTCAATATATTTTAATGTTCACATGTTCAAATATAGATAAATATGTATATATTTTCATTTAATAATATATTACTTTTATTCTTATTTCATTTTCTAAACATAAAATGTAATACACTGAAAAACGCAATTTTATTATATTAAGATGTTTTTAATATTTTATATTTTATTTAAAAAAAATAGAAAATTACCTGTTCATCTAAAAAGTTCATGAGAGTATTCATTTTGCATTTGAAACCTTCTGTTTTTAACATAGAATATAAAGTATTAATACATATTGGTTCATACATTAAAATTTTATTATGTAATTCTGTTTTAACAGAAAGAATTTTTAAAAACATATCTTTAATATTTGTATTATCAATTATTGAAATGAATTCAGATTCATCTAATTGTTTTTCTTTTTCTCTATTAATTATATTTAGTGATAATTGTTTATTTGTACTGTTAATATTATAAAATTTATATTAATTTATGAAAATATTTTAAAATAATAAACTCAATACTACGAATATGTAACATACTATTCTTGAGATAACCCTAATTGATAATCATAATTATCAATGCAATCAATATCTTTTCTATTATATATTTTTTTCATTGGAGGTTCATCATCTTCACTAGTACTTATTACCACTTTAGATTCTACACTCTTTGATGTACAAATTGTTGGATGTAATTCATCATAAATATATGTTAATAATTTTATAGCTCTTTTTCGTTTTTGTATTTTTAATCCATATTTATTTAATTCTGCCTAAAATAAAATTAATAAAATAAAATAAATATTAAAAAGTAAATAAAGTATTAAAAATATAATTTATAATAAAATAATTCTTAACTTACTTGAAGCTCAGTTGTTTTCATGTCATTATAATTAGGAGGAGGTGTAACACTATCTCTAATAATTTCATGTGTAGTTGTTTCTTTTTTATGATTACATGTGCAGACTTGAAAATTATTGTAAGATTTATTGTAACTTATATTATTCTTAATATCTTTTGTATTAATATATAAACTTGTTTCTGATCTTGATTTCTTTTGAAATTTTCTATTACATTTTTTTGTAGTTAATTTTTTTCTGTTTTGGAATTGTTCTGGAAAAAAGTTATTAATTAATTTATTATTTTAATTAATTGTTGCAATAAATATCATTTTTTACCTAATTGATTTATTTCTTTGGCAAACAATGAAGTATTGATATTATCATCACTATTATCAATATAAACATTTGCTAAATAAACATCATTTTCAAAAATTTGGCTATTGTCTTTAGAATTTTCAGTATATGGAATATTTTTATTTTTTTTGCTTTTTTCATATGTATATATATTTAAATCTTCATCATCTAATTCAGAACTAGAAGATATTAATATAGAGGATTCAATTGAATTATATTTATTTATATTTGATTCTATTGACGAATTTTTTTCAATTCCTTGTAAATCTACATTATTTTCTTGATTTAATTTGAATTCTGAATTTTTATTAATATTTGATAGTGAAATATCATTATCTATATTATTCTTTTCTTCATATTTATCACATATTACATTGTTTTTTATATTATTTTTTAATAGAGATTCCTTTACAAAATTCCGATATTTTACTATACTATTATTTTCATGTTTTTCTTTGTATTTTGAATACATAGATATTTCATTTTCACTTGTATCAAAATCTGAAAATGTATTATTTTCATTTTTTAAATTTTCTGAATTTTTCATATTTTCTTGAATCTTTAATGAATCTTTAGATATGAAATATATTTTTTCATTTTCAAGATTACATACATTATTTATATTTTCATTCAATGAATTATTTTTATATTTTTCTATACTAGATTCTGATGAATTTATCATATTATCTACCAATTCATGATTAGAAGACATATTTGCATCATCTTTTTCATGTATTTTTATATCTACTTTTGAATTTTTATCATAATCTGATATATCAATCAAAATATCTTTTTTTGTTTTATATTTTTTTTCTGTAATAGTGTTTATTTGAGATATACAATATTCAGAAGAATTATTCTGTCTTATATTAAATGGATTTCTACATATTTTGTAATTTGTTGATAATATTGAATCTTCAGAGTCTACATCAAGATCTGCATTTTCTCTTTGAATTTGTTCAATAAATAAACTAAGATTACTTTTCAATTTTTGTATATTACAATTATTATTATTTGGAGTACTAAAACACTGGATATTTGGCAATAAGTTTATATTTCCTTTAGTATTTTTAGACATTTCAATATTTTCAGATGTAGAAGAATTGATAGTATTGATGAATAGTTGATTAACTGAATCAAATATACTAGAATTTTCATTATTTTTTGTTTTCTCACTATCTATAATTTTATTAACATATCTTGCTTTTTTATTTTTTATTTTTTTAGTTTGTATTGTATCATCAAATAAATCAGGAGACATGTTAGAATTCTGAATTGCATTTGTATCATTTAAACAATTAACTATTTTTTTCGATAATTCATCTGTACACTTATCATTCTTTAATTTAATTTCAAATTTTGATTTATCTATAATGTATTTTTCTAAACATTTCTTATTTAATTTTTTATCATCATTAAATTTGTGATCTTTAATTTCATTGATTAAATTTAATATTTCATCATTAGTTAATTTTAAATTATCTTTTTTTTTAGAAATACATTCTTGCTCTTTACTGTCCATTTGACTTTTTATTTTAATTTGTCTTTTTTCTAAAAAAACAAATAATTCTTTTACTTTATACTTTCTTGCTAAATCTCTTAAAAAAGGATAGTTCTTTAAATCATTTAAAATATTTGAATACTTTTCTATAATACCACAATAAATAAATTCTAAAAATGCTAAAGCAATATTATAAGATACATCTGTCCAAGAAATTTTTTCTTTAATATTAGTAAATAATAAAGTATCATTAGATGTAATATCAAGTAGCATATTTGAACACTGAATATGTAGAACTAATTTATGTGCCCAAATATGTTTATCATTTTTAACAAATATTATTATATCACTTGCAGAACTATCATTTAATGAATCACTCCAATTTGTTATTACTGTATTAATAAATTGCATATTTTGACAATTTTCGCATTTTTCATTTACACAATGTATTTTTTTATGTGACATTTCATATATTTTTTCATTATTACAAAATTCAGTAGGATTTTGATTTGATTTCACATGATTATATACATCACATGTATTTGCAAAATCTAAAATCATTTCTTCTTCCTATATATTATACAATATAAATATAATTTCTAAAAATTTAATATTAGTAAATTTAATATTTATTTTACTTACTCTTTGTTTTTCTTCTGAAGTTATATATTGCGATAAATTTGATACATAAAAATTGTTTTGATTTAGAGGCAATTTTGCTTTATTCCATAATTTTTCTTCCTTAAAATTATAATAAGAAGCAATAAAAAATAAATAAGTACTTACATTGTAAAAATATAATCATCTAATAATACCTTATATTATAATCTAATCTAAATATCTAATATACCTTATTAAGAAGTTCTTGAAGTAAATGACTTTTTAAATCAGTTTTTTTTTCAATTATATAATTACATTTAATTTTTTCTTTCTGATTTTGAGTAATTAGTTCATCTCCCATTAAAATTTCAGAGATTCTTTCAGTTAAAATATGATTTCTTTCTTTTTCAGAACGTGTTTGAAGTAAAGTTATTTCATTATTCTTTCCTATTAAAAAATTTTAGTAAGAAAATTAAAGTTTAATTTTTATTTAAGAGAAAAATATATATTTTAATTTAATATACTCTTTTTATTTTTTATTAATGATGGAGGTTTGCTGTTTATAAATCCAAATTTTTCCAACTGACTTTCAGATTTATTTGCTTCTAATATAAATTGATTTAATACTTTAGGTAATTTTTCAATTTCATTTATTTTATCAAGTTCTTCTGCTTCTTGAAGAGATTTTGATAATGCTAAGGCAAGTTGAAAATCAGTTTCTTCGTATGAAACCTAAAAATTTAAAAATATTTATAATATAAAATATAAAATATAGATAAAAATTATCTATATATCTATATAATTTCTTTAAATAATAATATTTAATATAAAAAAATACATACTCTATATGACATTGATTTTTTTTTATCTTGTACTATAGGTGCAACAAGCAAACCTAATGATTTTCTTTCATCTTCTTGACGTTTTTGAAGCTCTATAGCATCTAATAACTTCTTTGTAGAAATATTATTTTTATATGCACAAATTTTCATATGTAATGCACGAGAATTAAGATCCTTAAACGTTTTAAAACATAAAGGACATACTAGAGCCACTTTTACATCATTATTAGAATTTTTATTATCACAATTATTTTCAAATTTAAAAAATGATGATTCTAAAGATTGTGATTCATGCAAATTTCTTTTCTTTTCTTGTTCTTTTTTTTTTTTGTTGTCTCTTTGGCTTTTGATAAAATTTTTAAATTTTATATTTGTCTTTTTCTTTTGATGTCCATTGAAATTATTAAATTCAGTTAATTTTGTTTTAGAAAATTGTTTTGGACTTTTAAAATCTAATATACTATCATTTTCAGTTATAGATGTATCATATAAAGTTTTATTTTCTTCATTCATTTTTTAAAAAATAATATATATTATATTTTATCTTCTTATATATACTGTAATAAAAATATGAAATAAATATAA